AATGCGTGTAGCATGGGGAATAAACAAGAGGAGTTAGAGATCTGTGTGCGGTCGCAGAACCATGACCTCATTGCAATTACTGAGACGTGGTGGGATGGCTCACATGATTGGAACACTGTCATGGAGGGCTATGTTCTTTTTAGGAAGGATAGGCCGGCAAGGCGAGGTGGTGGAGTTGCTCTTTATGTGAGGGAGCAACTGGAATGTATCGAGCTCTCCCTGGGAACAGATGATGAGCAAGTTGAGAGCTTGTGGGTAAGGATCAAGGGGCAGGGTAATATGAGAGACACAGTTGTGGGTGTCTATTACAGGCCACCTGATCAGGATGGGGAAGTTGATGAGGCCTTCTACAGACAGGTGAGAATCGCCTCACAATCACAGGCCTTGATTCTCATGGGGGACTTCAACTACCCTGATATCTGCTGGGAAGGCCACACAGCTGGGCACGTACAGTCCAGGAGGTTCCTCCAGTGCATTGAAGACAACTTTTTGACTCAGGTGGTGGAGGAACCTACAAGGAGAGGTGCTTTACTGGACCTGATACTCACAAACAAAGAGGGACTGGTGGAGGATGTAAAGGTTGGGGGCAGACTGGGCTGCAGCGATCATGAGAAGATAGAGTTCAGGATTAAGTGTAGAATAGACAAAATGACAAGTAGAGTTGAAACCCTAAACTTCAGGAGGGCTAAATTTGATCGTTTCAAAGAATTGCTTGGGCAAATCCCATGGGAAAGGGCTCTAGAGGGTAAGGGGGCTCTAGAGAGCTGGCTGCTATTTAAGCGTCACCTCCTCCAAGCTCAGGATCAGTGCATCCCAAAGAGAAAGAAATCAGGCAAGGGGAGAAGGAGACCTGCTTGGCTGAGCAGGGACCTTCTGAAAAGGCTCAGGTGGAAGAAGGGAGTTTACAATAGGTGGAAGAAGGGGCTGACTGCTTGGGAGGAATACAAGAATGCTGTCAGGGTATGCAGGGAGGAAACAAGGAAAGCCAAGGCAGCCTTGGAATTGAACCTGGCGAGGGATGTCAAGGCCAACAGGAAGGGTTTCTTTAAGTATATAGGAGACAAAAGGAAAACTAGGGAAAATGTGGGCCCGTTGTTGAATGAGACAGGTGCTGTGGTGACGGATGATGCAGAGAAGGCGGAGTTGCTAAATGCCTTCTTTGCTTCTGTCTTCACTGTTCGGGCCAGTCCTTGTGAGACCCCGACTTTGCAGGTAACAGAGAAAGTCTGGGGGAAACAAGACTATCCCTTGGTTGACAAGGAGCACGTTAAAGATCAGTTAGATAAATTGGATATACATAAATCCATGGGGCCTGATGGGATGCACCCTCGGGTGCTGAGGGAGCTGGGGGAAGTCATTGCTGGGCCTCTCTCCATTATCTTTGAAAGGTCCTGGAGGACAGGTGAGGTGCCTGAGGACTGGAGGATAGCCAATGTCACTCCAGTCTTCAAAAAGGGCAGGAAGGATGACCCGGGAAACTACAGGCCGGTCAGCCTCACCTCCATCCCTGGGAAGATGATGGAGCAGCTTGTTCTGGGAGTCATCTCAAAGCACCTGGATGAAAAGAAGATTATCAGAAGTAGTCAACATGGATTCACCAAGGGGAAGTCATGTCTGACTAATCTGATAGCCTTCTATGACAAAGTAACTAGATGGGTGGATGAGGGGAGGGCAGTGGATGTTGTCTACCTTGACTTTGGCAAGGCTTTCGACACTGTCTCCCACATCATCCTCACAGGAAAGCTTAGGAAGTGTGGCTTAGATGAATGGACGGTGAGGTGGATTGAGAACTGGCTCACAGATAGAGCTCAGAGGGTTGTGGTTAGTGGCGCAGAGTCTAGTTGGAGGTTAGTAACAAGTGGTGTCCCTCAGGGGTCAGTACTGGGCCCAGTTTTGTTCAACATATTCATCAATGATCTGGATGAAGGGATAGAGTGTACCATCAGCAAGTTTGCTGATGACACAAAACTGGGAGGAGTGGCTGACACGCCAGAAGGCTGTGCTGCCTTACAGCGTGACCTCGCCAGGCTGGAGAGTTGGGCAGAAAGAAACCTTATGAAGTTCAACAAGGGTAAGTGTAGGGTACTGCACCTGGGGAGGAATAACCCCATGCACCAGTACAGGTTGGGGGCTGACCTCCTGGAGAGCAGCTCTGTGGAGAGGGACCTGGGAGTCCTGGTGGACAACAGGATGACCATGAGCCAGCAATGTGCCCTGGCGGCCAAGAAGGCGAATGGCATCCTGGGGTGCATCAAGAAGAGTGTGGCCAGCAGGTCGAGGGAGGTCATCCTCCCCCTCTACTCTGCCCTGGTGAGACCGCATCTGGAGTACTGTGTCCAGTTCTGGGCTCCCCAGTTCAAGAAAGACAGGGAACTGCTGGAGAAGGTCCAGCAAAGGGCAACGAAGATGATTAGGGGACTAGAGCACCTTTCTTATGAGGAAAGGCTGAGGGACTTGGGTCTCTTTAGTCTAGAGAAAAGAAGATTGAGGGGGGATCTTAGTAATACATACAAATACTTAATGGGAGGATGCCAGGGGGATGGGAGCAGTCTTTTTTCAGTGGTGCCCAGTGATAGGACGAGGGGTAACGGGCACAAACTTGAACATAGGAAGTTCCATCTTAACATGAGAAGGAACTTCTTTACTTTGAGGGTAGTGGAGCACTGGAACAGGCTGCCCAGAGAGGTGGTGGAGTCTCCCACTCTGGAGACATTCAAAACCCGCCTGGATGCTGTCCTGTGCCACCTGCTGTAGGTGACCCTGCTCTGGCAGGGGGGTTGGACTAGATGATCTCCAGAGGTCCCTTCCAACCCTAACCATTCTGTGATTCTGTGATTCCCCTCCTGAGAGCAAGGAGAACCTTTCCAAAAGCTCTTTCATTGACATCTTTCATACGAAGGATTTATTTTAATGGGCAAAGCTGTGCTTTGTATACAAGAGTAATGTCTGCATTCGGAGTAAAAAAAAAATAAAAATGTGCTTGTACTAGTGTGCTATGCAGTAATTTCCAAGATTCTTATAAGAGAAGCCTTCTCTTCAAGCTAGAAATGATAGAAGGTGTGTGACCCTCTGACATGAAACTGCAGCAGCAGACGGGTGACTTCTGTGGCACAGTGTTCACCCCAGTACAGCACACAGCTTTCTTAACCCTGTTTAGCACTACAACCAGTTTTCCGCATTTCAGGATACTGTTTTGCTACTATTGACTCACAGTGCTGAAGGTCAGAAGCTGTAAAAAAGCCTGATAACATAAAAACTTACTTTATTTAAATTCTGTTTTGAAAGTACTTTAAACTTGTTGACTACTTCACAGTATCCCCCAAGACACACTTTATGTTCATGTGCTATTGAAAACACCCTGTCTCACACCACAAGAAGAAAGGCAGGTACACATTGCTTCAGGCAGCATGAGTTGTAATAACAAAATAGGGTGCGACTGCCTCAACCCACTGCCTTTAGGCTAAACTTCCTTATTTAATTCAATTTCACAAGTTAGTGATTTCATCAGGCCCAGTCAGTAAAGACATCCAACATTCCTGGACATCCAGCTCTGTTTCCCTGGGTTTGTTCAAGGACTTAAAATATTGGAATGAGAAAAATCTCTTGGATCAACCTCTTGTGTTGTTTTTCCTTTGCTTTGTTTAGGGTTTTTTTTCATTTGTTTGTTTGGTTTGTTTTTTTTCAATCAGATTCTCAAAGCACCTCAGACACTGACTCCAGCAACTGCTTCCAAAAAAATCCAAGCAAACAGACATAAACCACTACTAAGGAAAAACATTTGTAAAAAAAGAAAAAATATTTATTTGGTGCAGTGTTTACATGAAAGATAATTGCATTTCAGTACCAAAAGAGAAAACAAGACTAGTAGAGTAATTTCATTCAAAAGATTTATCCTTCTTAACAAAAGTGACTTGATATGGCTTTTTGATCCTCTGTACTATGATTATAAGTTATTTTCAAAGTCCTAGTTGAGGTGGCACTCTGATATTAATTACATTTTGCTAAAAACAAACAGGCAGATACATAAAGGAGAGCTCTAAGGAATTAAAAGCCAAATTTCATAAATGAGGTAGTTCATCTGGTTACGCAGAAACGCGGATTTGTGTTTCTTTGTATAAAACATCCAGCCTCTGTATGTGTGTCTGCAATCAGAGATCTACCGCTTGCAACACAGCCTTACTGAAAAACTTTGCCCTTTGCCTTTCCCAGCAGGGAGAGTTCAAGAGTCAACCTCGAAGTGCGCAGCCAGGGACCTCGCCATCCGGACAATTAACTCGCTGCTTCTTGCTACGGCTCCAGAGCATCCCTCTCCGTAGCCGACACGGAGAGTGATGGCAGGTCTTGCCCTTTTTGGATTTAGAGCATCTTAAGGCAGAACAGCATTTTTAATTACTGAGACAGTCAGACTGGTCTCACTTCAAACAATCTGACTTGGATGACTGCTGCGTCGAGATCCTGAGGATTTTTAACTACCTGAATATACAGTATTTTTTTTCCTGTGCCTCTACAGTAGTGCATGAAAACTTCCCTTCATATACACTAAAAAAACATTCATTTATTTTTAAATTGCCAACCAGCAGCTCAGAGATTCAACATTCACATTACTTTACATTTAGTTTAAAACGCTACTAAACTAACCATCTCAGAGGAAAATCTGAAGTTAAATTCTGATTAAAATTGCCATTATAAGCCTGTACCTGATTATCAAGTGAAAGTTACTTGAATTAAGAGAGACATTTCAGCAAGCAGTTGACAGAATGACTTTCTGCCAGGCACCACAATAAGAAGAAAGGTGCTCATTGTGATAATCCTTCACTGATTAAGATCAGTCACTGTAGCCAGCACAGAACCAAGTGTGCAATCCTTCATCTTATTTTTAAAAAGAAAATTCAAAGAGAAAAAAAAATCATTTGCAAAGTGCATAAATATCCCAGGCACCCATGGCTTCATTTATTCTTGTTCTCAGAAACATCAATCAGCAAGAAGGACAGACAGCATTGTCATCTGTTTGCCTGTTTAAAAAAAAACAAAACACAAAACTAAAGTTCAAGTTCTGCTGACAGACTATCTTATCAATTACTTGGGTGCTTCTCAACAGAATAACGTCATTATCAGACAAATCATACTTATTTATTTTTATAAATAAAATCAATTTCAGGGTTTGGAACATTTAAAATTACTGAAACCACCGCAATATTTTACCTGCATATTTTTATAAATCCAATCTGTAAACACAGTCATATTCCCGTATACTCCAGGTCTATTGGGACTAGCACAGCCAGTTCCCCAGCTGGTATCTCCAACCAGCCACCACAGGGAGTGTTTGTTAGTTACTAGAGGACCTCCACTGTCACCCTGCACAAAACACAAGCATATTGTTAGTGACCTGGCCACCAGGAAAGATACAATCCATTTCACTTCAGGAATACAGGTTAGGTTTCAAAAAAAGCTAATTGACATTTTAAGGCAGTCACTGAGACAAAATGCAGCAGCAATTACAGTATTAAATGATGACTGCTTGCAATAGGGATGAAAATTGTTTGCCCAAAGCACTAAATGGGACAGGCGTTATTGACTTTCTTGTTCACCAGCGTAATGTTAGGGTATCGCCACGATTATGAAGAGCATTGGTTCACTTTCAAGTACCAGATAACTAAACATCCTTGAAGCATTAAAAAGGAGTGCCTCACCCTCTTTGAGTATTTAGCAAGAACTCAGCACTGGCAGCCATTCAGAAGATGAAACAAAAGCTCTCCCTTTTAAAGGGATGCACCACAGAAAGAACAAGAAGCCCAACCAAAATGTTACTCAAATTTTTAAATTTTTTTTTTTTTTTTGCATGGGATCTGTTTGTGATTAATAGATGACTTAAAAAACCTACTAGTAAGACCACAAAAATAATCAGATCATTATTAGGTGTTAATTAGGAATAATTACCTGGCAGGAATCATATCCTCCTTCTAGATATCCAGCACAGATCATTGTAGGCAAAATCATTCCATTATAGATATAGACAGAGTTACACTTAGAACGTTCTATTAAAGGCACCGAAACATAATTCAAGTTATTTGATGTTTTTCCTAAAACGGAAACACGCACAAAAACACACATACAAAGACAAAATTAGAACAAGCATCATACTACGTTGCCATTACAAATCCCAGCAGCTAGCACTGTTCAAGATGAAATAAACTTACTAGAAACATTGGGATGGACACTTTAAGATGTCCACCGCACAGAGACAACCGTGACATTAAAACTCCCTTCCAAGAGGTCAGTGAGTTACCCTGCGTTACTGCCAGTGTGCTGTAGAGCAAGAGAACATGGCACCTCCCTGCCTACTCCAGCCCCAAATCAAAGGTGTTATCTACAGGGCTATTAAAAGCATGTGAAATGTGCAAGAGGTGAAGAGGACCTCCCACAGAGAGGTTTCATGGTCCAGCACAAGCGGCCAGCAATTCCCATCGTCGGGGTGCAGCTTCCCCAACACCCCGCTCCCCGCCCAGTACCTTCTCACACTGAAAGAAGAAACCTTCCCTCCCTTTCCTTCTCACTTCTTGCAAATTTACTTGCATCATGCTATTTTAGCTCGAGGTGGCGGAAAGGACAGGCTGCTGCCCTTTCCCACGTCCACAGAGGACTGGCTTGGCATACAGCTACCCTTGTTCCAGGGGAGGGTATACGGGCACTGAAGTGGCCCTGCTAGCAGAATTGCTTCCTGTGCGAGTATTTCTGGCCCCCGGTACTGGTTTGAGGCTCCTTTGCTGTCTGCTGAATGCAACACACCACAGCTTGCTTTGAGGTAGAATGCCTTGTGTAAATATTAGGGACCGTAAACACAGGGAAAAAATAGCCTGTCAACAGATCTGGCTCAAACCACCCAATCAGCCCGTATAACAGTTATTTGTAGACTGAAGAGGACGGGTTTATGTAGAACACCAAGAAATTTGAGAGCCACTCTTACCTCCTTGGTGCTCTGCTCCCCACCCAGATATCCAGCACTGCTCATCAGGCTGGAATATCACTCCTGGATTAGGCAGACAAACTGGCCGTACAGCATCTGCAAAACAAACACAGTAACATCTGTAATCCCGGACGTCCAGACATAATTCGAAATAAATGCATGCGAAATATCTCAGCATGACCACCACTTAAATACATACACACCATGCATTTTCTCTGTACTTTGCAGGTAAGCAACACTGCGACACAGGCAGCAGCAGAAAGCTTACCAGCTGCCTTTTCCCAGATGGCTACCTAACCTTCACCGCCAAGTGAGGAACAAGCACGGTTCATGGTTTTAGCTCAATTCATCAGGCTAACTAGAACAATTAACACCAGCTCTTCTGACCAGTGGAGGACAAAAAAGAAGAAAAAACTTCCAACAAGTACCTCTCCGCATTCTCCTTGCAAAACCCTACTGAAAATAACCCCAATGCAAGCAGGATGCAATGCCTGTATACAATAAGCGAGAAACAGAAAACCAGCCAACCTCCCTACTTTTAGCATCAGAAGAGCCCCTCCGGATTACTTCTAGCAGCTTTAAGATGATGCACTGAAACATAAAGGACCTGTACGGATAGCACCTGTACACATAAAGCACATCGAGTTTAAAAACTGCTTTGTCTGCTAGTTTTTACTGCTTGCTTACAAACAACCTACCTCTACTTTTAAGAAAGGAACTTCTAACATTTGGGTTTGGGTTTTTGGTTTGTTGGGGTTTTTTGTTCGGTTGTTTCGTTTTTTTCCCCCCAATTGTTATTTGGCATAACTTGGTTTAGGGTTCAGTCAGCTGCTCCACCATCGCATCCTGAGTCTGCACACATAGGAGTGGCAATGCTAAAGCACCGTACAGCATTCTAGAGTAAAAGTATACTACTGAGATGAGTCTAAACTCCCTTACCACATACTAGATTTAAATAAATCCTACACAGAAAAATCAGAGGGTGTGTCCTCTGCCTCTACTTCTACCCTGTCTATGTCTCTAAGGTGCCTCTACCCACATTTCTTCCCATAAATATCTACAGGGATTTCTTGATGAACTTCAGAAGCTCTAAAAGATGTGCTCATTGTCATTGGATTTTTGCCTGAAGGGGAGCAGAATACATACCAGTAAAAGTCAGCGGTGTCTCTAACTTCATAAGGGCAACATCATTGTCTTTAGAATCCGTATCATAATCGGGATGGGAAATTATCTGTTGCACTCTGTACGAATTTTGTAAGACCATCTCATTCTGGTTCAGAATCCCAGCATAAACCCTCCAGCTGTATGGGTCAGAAAATCGTCTACAGAAAAAAGAAAGATTAGAAGATTTGCTTTTCTGGTAACAAGTCACAGATTATGTATGACCTTCAAAAAATTGTCTTCAGAAATGGTAGTCAAATGCATATGTGACCAAGAACAAAGATGACAAAGGCAAACAAATTGCAAGACATCTAACTTTGGGAAAGCTTGACTCTAATTTCATAAATATATCCAAAAAAATCTTTGAAACGGGTTAAGTATCCCTGTCTGTTCCCTTGGTCACTCAGCACAGCAAATTACAGTCTGAGACTGCAACACTGAAGTCCATTGATTTCCGTAGCTGAGGGATCAAGCAGTTATTTCTGAAGTCTCACATGTCAGTGGTATCACTCGCGTGTACTATCCGAAGTATGCAAGGGCAGCAGAAGCCAGAATTTGTAAAAACACAACTTAGTGAAGGAATTTCCCTGTCTTCAAAATGCCAGTGCTTTTTTGTTTGGTTTTGGTGGGCTTTTTTTAAATGTTAAGCGTGCTCACTAGATGTAATTTAAGCAGCCTCTTGTTTACAAATGCTCAATAAAAAACTTCCCACAAGTGTTAAAACTCCCTCCATGAGAACTGCCAAGGCAGGAGTGCTTGCAGGTTGCCTCCCCTCAAAAAAAAGAAAAAAAAAAAATCAAGACTAAAAACCAGCTTTGTGCCAGCTACAGCTTTGTTGCTATTCCTAAAGCTTTTGCAGAACTCAAATCAGAAAACAAAGGAGGGATAAGATCATCACATAAAAATAAATACTTGCATTCCTTTCTCAAGGTGAAAGACAAAGTCATTTTTCCTTGGCTTAGTCTCCAACTGTGATCCAGCCAACCAACCGTTAAAATGTTTTTGCTTAGTGGGTTTTCCCTCCAACAGAAGCAGCCACCTTTTAAACATATTCTGCCACTGTACACGAGGTACCACAACACTCTCAACTCTCCTTTAAGCTTCTATTTTCATAGGTTAAAAAGGGACAAAGCACCACCTCTTTTTCTTGCTGATGCCAATGTAAAGTGTTCCTTGGACAGGTACAAATCCATATTTAATAGTGACTTGGGCTTTACTACCCTGTGGCATGAAGACACGAGGAAATAAATGGTACAGGCATCTTTAAATGTATCATTTCTACAGTTGTGCAACATTTGAGGATTTGGGATTTTTTTTTCTTTTTCCTTTTCTTTGTTTTTCCTCTAAGTGTAGTTCAACATCTTCACGATAACATTGTATGTCTGGCGTAAGTTTAGTGCTTTGAGTTTACCTCTTAAATTGGGTGGGTATCTGTGCCCAACACCATCGTCCAACTGAATTTCCACCTTTAACACGTAAAATAAGATTTTCTTCCTGTAGAAAGCAGACAGATGGATCTCTAGCCAGCCGCCTCCAGAACAGTTTTTACCTTAATACTTGAAAACCATACTGCGACATAGCCAAAACACTACCTAGCACCTGCACTCAAGGTGGTGGTGGGGAACAGTATTTAGTTCCATTTTAAAGCAGAAAATCAGGAGACTTAGGTAAATTTTTGCATTTCAGCATGAAGCAACAAAAATCGCCATTTGAGAGACAATGAGAGAGTGCGGGCAAGACTCACCCTTCCACGCAGTGTGCCGCCGTCACTATCCACTGGCGGG